GATACTCTTCAGGTTTCTATACTCAGATTCATTCACTGAACCCAGATATTCTCAGACTGTTGGATCTCCTCAGTTTAACCCTCAAACAGGGTCAGGACAAAGTGTCATAAAATGCACAGTTCAATAAAAATAGGCACAGTTCTTCAGTACTCAAACATCCGCTGTTTAGTGGCACCTTGCCTGAACTGCTCTTTTCATTTTCTCAGAACTAGGGTCTTTTGGGTTTTTTGTGATAATGCATAAAATTCCACTCAAAACTAAAAATTCTTAAAGTTGCAGAAGAATGGGAATAATACAAACACCATCCAAATAAAGTCAGACAATCTTACAGGCTTGAAAAAAAATAAAGCCTATAAAACTTGTTTCAACTACAAAGAGACAGCTTGCCAGCTTTGGTAAAGCTTTGTGTATTTACCAGCGAGAATCTCGGCCAGCAAGTACTGATGTAACAGTGTTTCTAAGGGAAATATTTTGTTCTTGTTTAGAACACATAACTTAGTGATACTGCGATACAAACATTGGTGAAAGTTATTTTGTGCAAATATTAGAAGGAGCAGACAGAGAAAGAGAAAGTAACTACAAATTACTAACATGAGGTTGTCTCTATTCTCTAAGTACTTTCTTTAGGCCAATTTGCAACACTCTTTAAAAAAAAAACTTTTAAAAAAAGTGCTTCCTCAGCCAAATGTCTATTCCAGGAATCAGTATTTTCTGTAAGCTGTATTTGCTGTATTTGTTTTAAGCTATAATACATACATGCAGCTACTATGCAATACCGTACTAAATATACCACTTTAAGTAACAGTGAAAGGACGGAAGCAAAATGAAATATACACCTCTAATACAAAATGTAATATTGAAAGCAAAATTATACATAAGAGAAAAATTTATACACCCCAATAAGGGTTAGTGAGTCAACTATGAGTGGAAGTACAGAAACAGTACTTACCATGAGCAGTCCTGTGCATTTCTGAACAACAGGACAAGAATAACTGAGACCACCTTTGAAGCATATTCAACTGTTGCCCATAGTCTCATCACAGTGATGTTATAAATGTGTATAAGTCTAGGTAAGTCTAGCTCCTCCAGGTAATAATTGAAATATATGGCAATTAGACATAAAAAGACATCTGATAATAAATTGTGCCACAATTTCTATGTCATATGCCCACATTTTAGCTAAAAAGCAAATAGAGCCAGCATACTTTACTTCTAATGCCTTTTAGACACATTCAACTATTCCTTGGCAAGAAAGGGCTCCCCACATACAGCCCTTACCCAGGAGAAGTGGGACTGAAGAAGGTGCTGTGTTATCCTGGGTTAGCCAATGCAGTTGCCATTATTCAAGTACAGACAACAGTTTAAACTACTAAGAAAATCTAAAATACTTCAATACACATGGAAAACAGCATTTCATCACAATCTCATTTAATATAACACATTATCAAAATTAGTTGGTGGTAGAGCAAATTGTTTCAAATGGAAAGCCACCTAAATTCTTGCTCTTAAATTAACTAAAAGTGCATTTTTGTCTGTTATATTAGCACCAGGTTCTTTCAATCTTCTGTTGCAATCTAAAAGGCAACAATGCCAGAATCTCATGATACATCACTTTTATTACTTTACTAGAAATTAAGTAATGACATAAACATAAAACATTTGCATTTCTCAACCTAGAACCCAAACATCAGAAAACACCCACAATTTATTGATACTTCATAGTTAATATTAAAATGGCATTTGAAGTTCATTGTTAATGGTTACACACAATGTTTAAGAGATAAGGAAAATGTCCTTTTAATAAGCTTGTGCATATCACCTTAACAATAAAGAAAAAAAATTTAAAATCATTTTGTTTACCAGTGTGAAAGCAGGATGTTTCTGTGAATGTCAGTGACAACATTTCTGCCTCTTAAGTCTCTCTTATGTCACATGAGAAGGAATGTATCTGTCTTAATATTTAATAGGAAAGTTAAAAGTCTAAATTGGTGCCAGTCACCTTAGGTTGCTTTTATTGCGAGTGACAAGAAACAGCCATCTCTAAAGAAGGAATTGTCTTATCTAAAGACAGAAATAGAAAGAGGCTATGGGAATCCCCCCCTGGAAGTCTCCATCTCTCTTCACTGACTAAAGAAGCCTATGGTGACCAGCTCAGATTTATACCACCTATAGGTTTAGATGGCTAACATCATGGGAAATTAATCCCATTCTTGACATCCTTCTCAAATAGCATTTGGGAAAAGTAAGCATAAAATACAGAAAACCGGAATTACCATCAAGTGTAAGAATCAAAATACACTGTCCCAGAAAAATTAAAAAAACAAGACCCTTTTGTGAAAATAGCAGGGGATCTGTAAATTTGAAATGTCATACAGCGTTTGATCTCCAAGGCAGGACAGACTCAGTCATTTCTAGAAGATTAAGGATATACAAGGACTATTTTCAGAATATGCTGACAAAGTAATATGCCTCTTCTGTGTATGAGTAAGCAGCAATTTTCAAAAGCTTATAATTCAGTGCAATAAGGACAGACATTCAGAGGCATGGCAAAAGACACATCTTATAACCCATTAAAGCTTCCCTTTCAAATTCCAAGTCCTTGCTCAAAAGCAAAGAAGAGGTCATAGACCTTTTTTTTGACTGTTTTTTTTCCCATTTTCAGGAATGATACACACATCTCACAGAAACTTTTGCAAAGACACTCAGGCTATAGCAAAACTGTGGGCAGAACAAGTCTGCGAAATTAATCAAAGTTAAAATTCAAGAAAGCTGACATTTGAAGAGGAGGGTTCCTTGCTCCTAAGTATTTGAAAACATAAGCAAGTCCCTCAATCACACATTCACAGAAGATAGAAGGGTATCTGTGAAGTCTCTCTGTACATTTGCCCAGTCATTAAACGTTTATACTGGCATCCTCTTTAAGTATGGACTGTCCCAGAATGGCCATTTGCAAGTATCTGACAACATAGCTTATAATGAAATTCTTACGTCACTTTATAGGTCTCATTGATCTCTAAAAAAACTTCAGGAAGACAGCTATTTCTATTGTGAATTAATGGAGCTCACCAGCAAGAGTTTGTTTCTAGTTATGTTTTGCCTTGTTTTTTTCCCAAGCACAAAATGATACTAAAAATGTATTATTCTTGCCAGGGATCGAGGGGAAAAGATGCTATTCTTAAACTTTTAAAATCCCCATCATGTGACTGCTCACAACACGTGAAACCTGGTGCTAATTCAAAGCTAAAAGATAATTTCACAGGCTTCAATGTGATTTTCATAGTTACAGCCACAAGTCTTTAAATATAATTTAACACATTTTAGAAAGCTTGCAAATTCTGCCATATCTCATTTTTGCCAAAACTTAAGTCAAATACTAAACTGAATAACTAAATATTTCAAAATAGAAAAAAGAAATTAAAAATTGTCATACAATAGCAGAATATTTCTGATTTTGCTTACCTATAAACACCTCCAAAATCATAGAATAGCTGAGATTAGAAGAGACCTCAGAAGTTCATTGAATCTAAACCCCTGATCAAGCAGGATCAGATGCAGCAGGCTGCTTGTCCTTGTGGGTTTTGAGTATCTCCATGGATGGGAAATCTACAACTTCTTTGGGCAAGCCTCTCCAATGTCTGACCATCCTCAAGATAAGGAAGCTTTTTTATACTATTTTTCAATGGAAACATTTAATAATCTGTATGCAGTTTGTACCCACTGCCTGTCATCCTGTCACCAGGTGTCAATGAGAGAAGTCTAGCTCTGTCTTCTCTACATCCTCCCATCTGGTATTTACTGTGAGAATGAAATGTTACTTAGCATTTCACTGTTCAGGAGACAAGGATCTTGAGCCTAAATTAGTCCAGCCACTAACCATTGGATATCACCCAACCCACACGTCATGTTTGGCGCTACACAAAATCAGGCTACCATCTTCAGAATTCAGAAATTATGTATGCATGTATGAATTATACAGCATCACGCCTGCACTATAAATCATGGCATGACACCTGCTTACTTGCTAGCCACTTATGACCATTTACTGGTTTTGGAGATCAGAATTTTCATTTACAAAGGACACAAAAGACAGCACTATCACAGTATGAAGTGCACAACAAAACAGTAGTTCCCCATTAAATAGTAAGTAAGGGTGCCTCACATATTTTTTAACTCTTATAAATGGCAAAGCACTAAAAATATCTATAAGGTCTAAGACTATTGCTCACCAAGGAATTTAAGCAGCAGAAACTAGCACAGCTGCTATCATGTGCTCCTGCACACTTTTGGCTGCTAATTCCCACTCACGTCACCCTTTGTACCAGTGACAGCCCCTGGACAGCCATATGGGAGAAGGCTGGGATAAACCCAACTGAAACCAAAACCAAACAAATAATTGGCTATTTTCAGTCTGATCCATTCTCCAAATTTACAAACAGCTACACATGCTGCGTGAGGGAGAATGACAATGTGGGGAGGAGAAAAGAAGCTGGCACTGCATCCTACAGGGATGTGCCAGGTTAAAGTATCCACTGGACATTTAGGCTAAAGCTAAGCAGTGAACACAAGCTACTCAGCGAGCAATGCTGCATTCCTTAGGCACTGCTTTCAGGATGAGATGGATTGGCCTCTGGAGATGCCTGCCCCTCTCCTGAGGGTAAGCACAGTCTAGAATGACTGAGATACAGCTACTTAGTTTCTACGTATCTAAATTGACCAAAGTCTAGATAAGTAGAAAATGGTAGAAAACTAGTTTTTTGATCCTTACAGCACTTCAATCCCATTAAAAATTGCCATTTAGAGAAAAAAAAAATTGTAGTATAGCTTACCATCACAGACATCAGAAGGGTATGTATTTTCTGCATGGTCCACAATTTTTTTTTCCTAAACCATATTTTACATCTATAAGCAATATGTTTCAGTGATGGGGTACTGTATTCCTCCCACAGGGCATATAAATCCACAGTAGAAACATAGCTACAGCTCAGTTATAAATCACTTACATTTCTTCAGAGTCACTTTGTCACTTTGCTGTGCTCTGGGAAGGTCTTTTCCTTGTTGCTCAAGTGGTCCTCCTTCCAAAAGTGTCTGTCACAGCTGTGGCAGATGAGGACAAAAGGTCCTTAACTCTCACTTGAAGTTATCTAAGGGTAAAAAGAGAAAGGAACACAGTAAGTGCAAGCATCCACATTGTGTTTTATTGCAAGGTATTACAACCATCTCTTTAAAACACACTTCAGTGTCATCCTTACACACATGTATTGCACTCCTAGGAAAAAATCCCACACTTTTCACATCTTTCTTTCTTTGTATGAGACATGGGAAGTAGTCACTACCCCTAGAGCAGTCACCTGCTTCAGTTCTGAGATTCATAATAACAAGACTGCATTTCTTTGAAAAAGCAAGTGTACAAGTTAAAAGATTATTTCATAATATTGATTATTTATTTTGTACCACAAAGACACTGTGAATACTTTTGGCTGGGATCCAGCAGAAAATCCCAATTTGTTGAGCATAGGTTCACTATAAACCATCCTGCCTAGCCAGTATTGATAAACACTCTAATCTGAATATTCTGTTAAACAAAAGAGCTCTCTATTGTACTACATTTTACTGCTAAGAAAGGGAGACCTGAGGCTTATGATAGATAGGTCTCATTGAAATTTCTTCATTAAAATGTAAAACTCACCACTCCATGAGAGTCAAATCTATAAATTAAATGCTAAAAATTATTTAGAAAACAATAAAGGACAAAGCATAACAAGTCATCTGCCACTTATTAACCCCTATCTTTAAAAGTGTGCTCCCCTCTCTTGACCAGCACAGGACACAAAAAACCAGAACTAATTACAACAGGTAAGAGGAGAAAAGATACAAGATCAAAGGCTTAAAACAGTTTCCATATATGAAGAAGAATTCAGTATGCCTCCAATATCCAGACTGGAAAAAAGCTGACTTAAGAAAGAGCATGATAGAAAACAACAACGTCTGAAGATGGAAAGACTGCATCGATATTGTATGTTCCCTACCCTTTGAACTCAAGAACTACCGCATAAAAGCTACATTCAGAAGAAAAATGGGAGTTTCTTCTCCACAAATTGTGTGAACTGTGAACTTCTTCCCAAGGATGCAGTTTATGCAAGGATGTTTCCTAAGTCAAGAGGAAGGTGGAGGTATCCTCGGAAGACAGCCATCACTGGAGACAGACACAGGTTTGAACCAGGATGACCAATCCTATCTCCATGTATATTTACTTATGTTAGTGCTAATTCAACAAATTTTATATCTATTCTATCTATTCACCACTCACAGTAATGAGAGTTACTGCATTAGGTACACAGGAGTCTAGTCTTAGTTGCATTTGAAGTACAGGCTAGATCCTTTTGAACACCAAAGTGAAATCCCATGGTTCTCTGTACTTTACTTTAATAAATTTGATTGATTTTTCCAAAACAGCATCACCACTGAAAAAAAATCAAATTAAATGAGGTAGCAAAGTCTTACTGTAAAGCAGCAGTAGCCTTCCTCTCCCTAGTCCAGTCCCAAAGCAGCCAGGGCAGAGGGCTACAAAGCAAGGTTCTGCTTCTCAAGTTGTTCACTGGTCTCATGGGTCTGAGTCTAACTTCATCCATATGTTCCCATTCAGTTCAACACTTATATAAATGCAGGTCAGCATCTCCATTTCCCAAGTTTCATCTCAAAGTAAACCTTAAAAATCATATACTCGGTATTCCAATATCTTCTCTTTTGCTTTAATCTCTAGGATACAGCAGTGTTTCTGATTTATTTTGGGTAAGTGCAGATCAATTAAAATTCCTTCAGGGAAGCCTTCTGAACCAGCAGAAAGAGAATGACTGTCATCAGGAACAAACACTTTTTGCTGTCATGGGCTGGCATGTCACACTTTTTAGCAAAAAACTATGTTAATTAATTCTATCCTTACCTACCAGGTGTGCCAAAGGAATATAACCAGTCCTTTCTGCTGTCTTACTAGATACAGATCTTTGTGTCTGTGAACCAAGTATCCCTATATGTAGAGCTGTGCATTGGCACATTATATGAAGAAGCAGCATGTACTTGCACAAAAAAAACATAGCAGGACAGAAATAACTTTGTTCAGACATCAGTATGCAACCAAAAATCCCTTTTGCAAGATGCATGAATTAATACCCTCAAATATCACTCAAAACCCAGACATTTTCAAATATATATACATACATACATACCTATTCATTAGCACTCTTTTAGACCCTACAGTGAGGAATGTGTATAACTCACACTTTTTTGGTCAGTTTGAAATACAGGATCAAAGTATGTTTACTGTTCACTCTATCCCCCTCTCTGAAAAAGAAGAGTCTGCTACAAGGTTTGCTGTTCTATTTGCTTCTGCAGCTTAAATGGCTTCACTGAGGATGAAAGGAAATTCACCATGCAGCATGCTAATGATCAGACTCATGCACCACTGGCCTATAGCAACATTTTAGGCTACCTCTCCCTTCTACTATTTGTCCAGCTTTTCCGTTTAGCATGTTAGGGGTAGGAATACAACCAGACAGCTCAAAAGGTATTCAGGGTCTGTTTGATATCCTTCACATCACTTTGATACTAACCATAAATCAGAGCAAGCTGTACCAAACAAGAACCAAATGTTTTAGCATTGATATAGAAGCAAAGACAAGCTTCTTGAAAAATGACAAAATTCAGAGACATGGGTTCCAGGTATACTACAGAAGGTAAAATACTATTGCAGGATAAACTTATTGAAAACAATTTGATAGTAGCAACAACAATTCAGAATTATCATCACCACTACTTAAACACCAAGACAAAACCTCTCAAGAGCAGGTGGCTACCTACTGGCTGTCAAATAAAAGCATTGATTTTTACTCTTTCCACATCTGGCTTCCAGCTACCAGCAACAAGTTTACAAAATCTTCCCATGCATATCACCTTGAGTCTCTCAAACAAGTGCACATAAAGGGGAAAAAGGTGATATGCAATTATATCTATCAAGCATTAGAAATCAACAGCAATCCCAAAAAATTGTGTCAACGACGAACGTTTTCTTTTCAACCACTTGTTATCTAATCTCACTTGAAGGTTAAATAAGCATTCATGCCTGCTTTAAAAATTTATTCCATATATTCCCATATTCAATTATACCTGGTAGAAATCCACTTATATCAAAGATACATTAAGAAGATTTTACATGAAGAATTTCTTAGATCATGTTTTTTTCTATTTCTGAAACAGCACAGTGATACAAGTAACGTGCAATTTTAAAGACTCAAATATAATTCAGAGTACATACATATTAATTTGGGATATTAAAAGCCACACTTGTTTGCGGGCTCACACCATTCCCATAAATTACCTAAGACACAAAGTAAAAGTTACATATCACAACATGATCTTATCAGCCTAACAGTTACAGGACTTTTTTGGCAATTCATAAATATACAGTTGCATTACAAAGCCATCACAAATAAGCACTGATAAAATAATTTATCTCTTGATTGTCACATATTTTTGAAGTTGCTAAAGAAAAATGCATTACAGAAAAAAACTATTTGAGGACTATACAAGAAACTTTCTTAATTCTTTCAGGATTAATAAGATACAAAGTTTCATTTCTGTAGATAAGCATCCTATTAATTTTACTTTCAATACCTATAGCCTATTTGGTGTAACTGAGTAAAAAAACAAAGTAGGATGTGGCCTGATATCATAGTATATAACATCAAGGACTGGATTGGAGTTTTGATTTTGTTTTGCTTTAAGACTGAACAATATTTATTCTCATTTCTAACTGTATAGACTGCCTAATGCAGCATTACAATCCTGTGTCTTTAGAACCATGTTTATATAAAAGCCTTTACCCACATATCTTATCTCAAAAAACATAAACTCAGAAAAATAATTACTGTTTTGCTAGTAAATGCCAAAAATATTTTCAAGAACGACGTATTAAAATAGTGACAAAATATATAAGTATATCTTTACTGAAGTCCCTTTCAGTTTATCTGCAGTATCACTGTCCTAAACTGGAAACAAGACAAGGAGTAAACAAGAGATCAACCATGATGTAAATAATTAAAGCAATAAAGGTGTTATTTAATAATTAAAGTAATAAAATTTAATCATTAAAGTAATAAAGGTGCAAACTTCTCTAAATGTTATGCTATTAAGCTGAATGAAGCTGTTTGGTTTGTCTGCAATTTAAGAAACCTCATTTTGCTATGATCAAAAAAACCCCAGTGCTTCAAAAAACATTCAGTTAGCACTACTTCCCTTCTCATACATAACAAAAAAAGAAAGGTAGGACAAATTATGTATCTATGGTAAAAGGGTCTTTCTACTATGATTCAGTGCCATGAAGATAATCAGAAATCTTCCTTATGTTTTTATATAGTTCTCCAGCAGGACCTGAAAAGACATGCTAAAATTTGTAGTATTTTAAAATCTATTCCTCTCATCAGTTGTATACCAAATTCTTCAAATCTTCTGGATTTGGCTTATCATTAAGTTTTAGAGAAATATTACTCATTTCTCTTGCAGATTTAGTCAATACTTATTTAAAATATATCAACCAGAAATACAACCTTAAACTCAATTGCAAGAGGATAGAACAGCATGAAAGCAAAAGAAAGACTTATGTCTAAATAATTCCATGCGTGGCTACCTGTCCACCATCCCAAAGGAATGATATATGAGGTGGATGAGAGAAGACACAAGCTGACTAGCTCTACCAGGCAATCCACCAATCAAGATCTAATGCTGGATTTGGGACAAACACATGTAATTCTTGGTAAATTGCTGTTAAACTAAAATTCAAGCTTGGCAAGGTTCAATAGATAGTGGTAAATTTGTATAGTACTTCTTGTGGCAAATATGTCTGGGAATATTTTACTCCAGTCATCACCAGTGGGAAAAGTGCCACCTCCTTTCCCCCATGTTCCTTCCAGCTCTATCTGCCCTTCTCTTTCTAACACTAGGCTGTCATTCAGCACAGGGACATGCAGCAGGAGCTGAGGAAATGAATGTTGAGCAGTTCAGTGTGATTCCAGACAAGGAGCATCACACATAATTCAGCCCTTCAGGGTTATGCAATCAATACCAACACCACTGTGGTGGTAGCAGGAAT